AATTAATTATTCCGATAAATAATTTAAAAAATAGCAAATTTTATTCATTTAAATAATTTTATTTATTATTATTTTTTTAACTTTATTTTTAATCAATTAAGGTATACAAAACTGTTAGGTTTTGCATTTTTTCATTTAAGAGTAAAGGTTTTTATATTATCTACCCATGAATCATAGGAAACATTTTCAAATTCAAGCAACGGCGGGCTTTATCGTTTTGAAAGCTTGCTTTCGATAATAAAACAAATCGATAAGCTTCTGGTAAGGCACTCTGACGATAACTGACTCGGCTCTTTAAGTGTAATCAAGTAGTCTTTGTGGTATTGTTAAATCAGTTCTCTGTTCCAGTCGATCATCAGGGGATGTCAGTTAGCTGTTAAAAAGTGTTGAATTTTGTTGAACTTTTACTTTGAGACGTTTAAATTCATTGGTTGTAAATCGTAAGATATATATTCTTTAGTTCTTTGCATTTTACGGCGCTCAATGCGTTAGAGCTCGTTGTAATCCAATCCCAGCAGCTTTTAGACTAATCCATCTATCAATTACGAAGCTTAAGTCTTAAATTCTTTGACAGAACATTCGGGAGTGCTGAATTCCGTTGATAGACATGCCGCTGGAATTGATTGTTATATCGGTGATGCGCACCAACAAGTGGATAAACGTGCTAATGCTGAATACTCCGCAGGAGGACTTTGACCAGCTGCAGAGCAGACGCATCGACGTGCGCTCCGATGGCATACGCTGGATCGAGAGCGACTTTGAGCAATTCACGCCCCTGGGCAAGTTTTTCGAGATCAACACCAATCCCGAAGCAGGCATCACAGTGGACAAGGAGACGAGCAATTCCACGGCCCTGAAGCTGAGGCTCGTTCGCATCAACGATGCGGTCCTCGACCAGCAAACCGTCAATGTTGGCATAGAGAAGCTGCAAGTGTTCATGAACGAGTCGATGACCTGTGCCCTGCACTGCACCAACTGCTATAATGAGCTGGTGGCCGAGCGTTGCTTCAGCTCCATTCGCCCCGTGCCCATTCCCACCATGGAGCCGCTGAAGTACTTTTACTCTGAAAAGCAGATGCCCACAGCGGTGGATGAGGGCGAGCTGTACTATGGCGTCAACTACATTGTGATAAGTCCCCAGCTCCTGGGCAAGGGCGTCATCCAGTGCGGAGGGAATATTCACTGTGCCCGCTGCCTGCAGCTGGTGGGCGAGTCGTTGGGCGAGAAATTGGCCGCGCAGATGTACGTGGACACACTCTGGGTGTCACCGAGTCCCCAGACTGGTCTGCCAGAGGGGCGTCTGGAGAAGCTCTTTGGCCGGGTGACGGTCTCGCAGCTCATGCTGCACCTGCTGCAGAGTGCCGTTCCCATCAGCGATGAGAAGACCAGGGTGTTTGTGAAGACAGTGCGTCCGGATGGCCAGCTGCATTACATGCTGCTTCTCGTGGACACCAACCCACTGCATATGCTGCGCTCCAAGCTGTCGCTGATCGAGGACCTCAATATCAGCAACAGCCCGAAGGACAGCGACTACGATGCCGACGCATCGCTGACCTCGAACAGCGACAGCAGCATCGAGAGCATCGTCGAAAACAGCAGCGACAGCGACTTCACAACCGACGACAGTGGGCCGAGGGCTAAGCGCCGCCGTCGTCTTCGCCGCGGCAAATCGAAGCCGGTGCACGAGGTTAAGGTGCGCGGCTATCGGGGCTGCCGCTTGACCTATTACATGTTTAGCACCGACGAGGAGCTGACCGCCAACACGAAGCTCATCGAGCAGTGGCGCAAGGAGGGCACACCCATGTTGCGCATCTCCTATGGGATGATGATGGATCTGCTGCGGGAGCTGACCGTGAACGAGCTGCTGGTGGCCACAATGGAGCGCATCATAACCAATGAGAAGGAGGGACGCATTAGCTACATCATCTTTGAGCCCGACGAGGATAATTAGACGAAGTCTAGGCACACTTGAAGCGGATTTCCTTAAATCGCATTCCACTCGACTGATGATATACCTCATTAAATTATCAACATGCCAGAAATGCATTCATATATCTACATACTTTTTTTTTTTTTTTTTTTTTGGAGCCGTTGTGGAGAAAATTGTTATGTATTTTCTCTATAATAGTGGCATTTCGCATTTCGGATTCTTAAAGCATTTTCCTTTTCATCACATTCATAATCAATTTTTGATTAACTCACACTGAAATTCATATAAACTCATACATATACATACATACATATCAAATGTAACACAAATATTTCATTATTTTTTTATTTACTGAAAACATTATTAACATGTATTAGATGCCTTAGATCCAGCGAAACAACTAAAATAAAACCGGTATTCAGATAACAATAAAATAAAAAAAAAAAAAAAAAAAAAAAAAAACATTTACGATACAAATAATAATACCTCAAATGTAATACACATACATCTTAATACAAATATTGTAAACAACTAAAATAAAACCGGTATTCAGATAACAATAATATTAAAAAAAAAAAAAACATTTTTACGATACAAATAATAATACCTCAAATGTAATACACATACATCTTGATATAAATATTATAACGTAAATATAATTGATAATTCACAATATCTGCCTGTCTGTTTTCTATGGCTCATTTGCTATGAGCAGCAGATAATACAAAACTATAATAAAACATTCGACTTCATGCTAAATAAAATAACTTATCAATATACGAAAGTTCGTCTTGACGTGGAGTTTTATCAGGGTAGCCTTCAATGGGCGCATTCGTTCCATTTGAGTGGGATTTGGGTCTGGTATTTGGTGTGGCACTAACGAGACGTGGCGCATGTGTATCGACAACTGTTCTTGCTGGCATTCATTTGCAACTGACAACTGCTATAGAGGAGGATAACACGCACATTTATCATGTTGCACACGCAGCGATGGGGCAATCGATTTGTGCTCGATTCCGACTTATCAGCAACTGCAGCAGCCCTGACTGAAGGGGAGTGAGTCTGCAGACGAGGCATGCACAATTGAATGCTGCTACGCATCTCTCGAAATGCTAGCCGGAGCATCTGAGGCTTAGGCAAACGCTTCCCACTGTCAAAGGACATGGAGAAAATTGGGCTGCATGCATATCTATCAGCAGCAGCACTCGGATTCGTGTAGCTGCACCCACATGTGGCTGCCACACACACACACACACAACTGGCGGCCGCCATTTTGTTTCTTCTGTCAGCATATGGCCGCAGGGATCTTCTGGCGCAAGGGGGAGCCAGGAAGTGCTGCCAAGCGCAGCTAGAGAAGCATCCATATTCTATTTTAATATGACAAATGCACAAGACTCGCCGCTCCGCACGTGACTTTTGTCAAATTTTATTCTCATGAAAAATGCTCAGTGATTGTGAAAGAACTTTGTGTAATTTAAGAGGCGACATCTTGTGGCATGCAAAGAAAATTTTGAAAACCATTTGAAAATCAAATGAAGATTTCCTGAACTATATAGTAAGTGTCTAGATTTTTAAATTATTTATTTATAAATTTTTTAGAAATTAGAATTTATATAAAATTAAAGCTATTAAGCACTAGCTACATATCTTCATATAAATTACGTTTTGACAAATAATAATTTATCATATGTCATCGATAAATTTTGTATAGAGTTCTTAGTTTGACAAACACATTTTATAAATATCTCAAGAGAAATCTAATTGTTATTTGTTATGTAACCCTTATATTATTAAATATGCATTCATTGTCTGAGAGTCTTTAGTGATCTTAGCCTACAATTAAATCGCCCGCTTCATAAAGATTTTCTCCCTAATCTCAGTGCCAATTAAGATCATTTTGGCAATACCTTCAGCAAGCACAAGGAATACGAAGCGAGGCAATGGCAACATATGTCCTGATTTATTGATTCGTATATTCATTTCTTGAGAGTGTGTGGCTCATGTGCCGAGTTTATGCTGTGTTGCATGCCACACTTGCCGCTGTCTAAGCATCCTGTACCGTATGCCATAAATCATAAATGCAGACAAAATATTCGCCAGGAGTAGAGCAAACACACACGAAAAAACACAGAGACGAAATTATGCTTTGCTCCAGATTTGTCGCCGAGGCAGCAGGCAGAAGGCAGCAGACAGTAGGCAGCTGGCAGGACTCGAACAATTCACGTAGAGTGCGTAGTTTGCATATGTGGGCGGACGCAGGACGAACGCATCATAAAACAACAAGGACAACGCACAAAAAATATTTAGAAAAGAATTACGCTTAAATGCAATTGCTGTCATATTTTTTGTTGCGTTGCGTTGCGTTGCGTTTCGTTACGAAAGTCCTGTGCATGCGGCGCTTGTGATTTACGATGCTGGCAAAAGGAACTCGAAAGCAGCAGGACGAAGTGCAGCTCCGCTCTGCAGCTTCAGGCTCAGCGCTGCGGTGGGCAATTAAAACTCGATGCGACAAAGCCACTAAAGTGCAATTCATACATCGTTAAATTGGAAATATTCATTGAGATTTTCCCCAGCCAGAGCTAATTTATTATTAATTGAATCGAACAGAGACGACAGCCAACTCCTGCCGCCACTCGAACGTCCCGGACGTCGGATAGACGCTGTGTGACCCGCCGCCATGTGATGTGAGTTTTATGTTCTATTTATGTTGTGCAAACGATGCCCCATAATCGTAAAAATATCAAAACAAATCGTTAAAATCGATCGTCGTCATTTGGCGCTGCTTGCCTCGATTCGAGCTCACATTCAGATACAGATACTGAAACAGAAACAGAAACAGAAACAGATTCAATGAGCGAGGGGCACAGGAATGCGAACGGCTTCATTTGCGGAGTTTGAAGCAGTTGTTGTTGTTGTTGTTGCTGTTGCTGTTGTTGGGGAAGCTCTATCTCTACATGAAGTGGATGTGGATGGGGATGTGGATGGGGATGGGGATGGGGATGTGGCGTTTCGTAAGTGGCGCGGGTCGACGCGTGTCAATTGAGTTGCTCTCACTCCTGCGCATATTTGTATTTGATATTGAAAGTCAAATTTGTGTGTCTGTGTGTGTGTGTGCTGGTGTGCCTGCGCCCACAATCATTGGCGGCGTTGCCAGCCAGAAGGAGCTCATAAATTTTGTGACTTAATTAAGTTGGCAACACTTGAAAATTGTTTGAATTTTGTTCTTTTTTCCCCCACTTTGAGTTGTTGTTGTTGTGGCTTGAAGTGAGTTTGCGTTTGCATTTACAGATAATAATTGTAAGAGCCCATTATTGAATTCATATTGATTTATAATTATTGAATAGGCACCGCCTGGCACTGAAAGTATGCCGATTACAAAAGAATTCCTAATTGGCTGAAACAGTGAAGGGAGATGGGACTTTAAGGCAAACAGCCAATGCCAAAAGTCTGCCTTTTCGTTGTCCTACTCGTTCTATATTAAAGTATTATATTTCTACTACAAAATATACTTAAATAAATAATCAAATTCAGCTAACAGATTTTTTATATTTATATTTTTTATTAGAATGTTATAGCACACTCATTAAATTCTTAAGAATATGTTCTTTTTAAACACAAATATTTCGCTAGACTTGAATTGAATTTCCAAGAGCTTTATTTAAATAAAATCAACATATGCTTGCTGTGGCTCTTCTCTTAATGCCTTTAGAGCTAATGTATTATAAAAAATGTAGCTGCTATTTTCAAAACAAATAACCAAACACGATTTTTTAGGCGGTTTTGAATGTGAGCAAGCATAAAATTTTGAACATTGATGCATTTGTTTATTTGTATAGCGCTTGAAAATCTTGAAAAACAAAAACAAATGTGGAAATATTCGCAGCACGCCGGGATGCACGAAGATCCATGGTAAAGAACCGGAGACCCACCGGCTCCCAATGGCAGCCGTTATAGACGAGGTCTGCGAGGTGCCACACGATATGTGCTGAGGGGCGCTCGAAGGCGGCGTTTGTTTATCCAAAGGGGGTCGACACTTGGCAGCCACATGCCCCGTTATTTGTTTTTATAGACTCATTTTATGTGCTCCATGTTTGTTTGGCTGGATTGCGCCACACTTGTTGAGGCCGGGCCATCTTTATGGGCGAGTCAGACTGAGCAGAAGCAATGCTACGCACACATAATAACCATAATAATAAGAATTAACTTGCTCATTACCACACAAAAGGATTGGACAAGGCTGGAAGGTCTGGAAGGGCAGACAAAAGCCTCATAAAGACATCATAACTCAGAGCCTGCTGAAAGGATAAAGCGGACACGCCACCCACAGAGAGGCGTGGCAAGGAGCTGGCAGGCAATAATTAAGTACTTTTCTATGCAAAATTGGAACGCAGTCAAAGGCCACAAGAAATCTCTTACGCTCTAGCTCTCGCTCTGCCTCTTAGCCAGTTGCTCAGGTAATTCCGGGCTAAATTAAAATCTCCCTCTGTGCACGGCAAGTGCTCAAGACATTGTCACACATTATCAGGCGGCCAGAGGGAGGGAGAGAGAGAGAGAGGATTGTGCACTAGCTCGAACTGGGCTCAAACTTTGCGAAACAAAGACCTACAGCTGAAAGGGGTGCGTATGACCGGGTGCCAGGGGCGGGGTGGCTGGCCGAGCTGCTTGTTGACTTACTCCAAGGCAAACTTTTGCGCGGTGGCAGCTTCTTGGCGAACGGGCGTCGCAGCTGCCGCCCTTACGGCTCAATTGCAATTACGGCAAATTACTTTATTACATCCGTAATTGTGTGACCATCAAGAGTGCCATTTTTCGGGTAGTGAAATTAGTGTGGCAGACGCCACAAGTGTTTCTGCCCCACCCCGTCTCCTCCCGCATGAGTGCACAGCTACGTCCATGTCTCAGTCCATCAATAGCCAAACATCTAGTGCCACATAATGTTGCACGCACAAACGCCGTCGGCTGCAGGAGCGTCGGCAAATCAGAGCTGAAATACTACGTTTTGGAAATAATAATCAAAAATAATACTGGAATACGAAATTCTAAAGAATTCAATTTATTTTAATTTGGACTTGTAACTTAATTTTTGTAAACAAAAAATTAATAAGTACATAAATCAATTGGTTTTAAAATATTTATGTACATATATTAATATTACATTTTAGAGATCTTTGTAATGTGAATTTTATAAAAGTTATTCTCAATTTAAAAATTAAATATTTATTATAATATACAAAATATATTCAACAATTTTCAGTCGAATATTT